GGGGGTCTCCAAACGTTCTAAACAAAAAGCCAGCTTACTGTCCTTTAAATGTTAGGGGGTCCAGACTGTGGCCAGTGGGGTTAGAAATTGTCCTGGTGTTAGTGAGAGTAAAAAGTGTCCCATCTTTGACAATCGGCAGAAATTTGCCCATTTTCAAGGAACCTCTATCAGCCTCTGGAGGAACCCTGGTTGACAAACCCTGTTGTAGGACGTCTTCATTTGAATTCTACATTGTGTTGTTCAAGTCAGGGCCTGGACTGAGCGAACCTAAAAGGGAGGGCCAGCATGACTGGGGCTCGCAGACGAGGCCAGTGGGGTTAGAAATTGTCCTGGCGTTAGTGAGAGTAAAAAGTGTCCCCCATCTTTGACAGTAGGTGGAGGAATAGTACCCCATTCTTGGTGTCAGTGGTGGAAATTATACCACATCGTTGGTGTCGGTGGGAGGAAGAGTGTCTCAAGGGCCAGATAAAGGCAAGCAAAGGGCTGCAGGTTGGAGACCACTGCCATAGACAACAGTCGGTGCTAGTGTCGCATCTTTGACAATCGGCAGAAATTGCCCATTTTCAAGGAACCTCTATCAGCCTCTGGAGGAACCCTGGTTGAGAAACCCCGTTGTAGGACATCTTCATTTGAATTCTACATTGTGTTGTTCAAGTCAGGGCCTGGACTGAGCGAACCTAAAAGGGAGGGCCAGTATGACTGGGGCTGGCAGACGAGGCCAGTGGGGTTAGAAATTGTTCTGGCGTTAGTGAGAGTAAAAAGTGTCCCATCTTTGACAGTAGGTGGAGGAATAGTACCCCATTCTTGGTGTCAGTGGTGGAAATTATACCACATCGTTGGTGTCGGTGGGAGGAAGAGTGTCTCAAGGGCCAGATAAAGGCAAGCAACGGGCTGCAGGTTGGAGACCACTGCCATAGACAACAGTCGGTGCTAGTGTCGCATCTTTGATAATCGGCAGAAATTGCCAATTTTCAAGGAACCTCTATCAGCCTCTGGAGGAACCCTGGTTGACAAACCCTGTTGTAGGACGTCTTCATTTGAATTCTACATTGTGTTGTTCAAGTCAGGGCCTGGACTGAGCGAAGCTAGAAGGGAGGGCCAGTATGACTGGGGCTGGCAGACGAGGCCAGTGGGGTTAGAAATTGTCCTGGCGTTAGTGAGAGTAAAAAGTGTCCCATCTTTGACAGTAGGTGGAGGAATAGTGCTCCATTCTTGGTGTCAGTGGTGGAAATTATACCACATTGTTGGTGTTGGTGGGAGGAATAGTGTCTCAAGGGCCAGATAAAGGCAAGCAAAGGGCTGCAGGTTGGAGACCACTGTCATAGACAACAGCCGGTGCTAGTGTCCATCGTAAAAGTAGCAAGCCCCGAAACATGTTGGATCATCCTTTGCCTTCATTTGGCGCTCTCTGTGACCTATTGTGCTTGGCTATCAGAATAAACTTGGGCTTGAATATTACGGCGGGGTGCTTCAATCCTGCAGCAGACTGATGACATCATCTAGGCAAAGACACTGCCTGGAGCTCAAGAATGGCTTTTTACTGATAAAAACAGGGGCGTATTTACCAAAAGGCAAACAAGGCACCTGCCTAGGGTGGCATTTTTCAGGGGGGCAGCGCCCCCCCCCCCCAGAAGAATGGATGAAAAAGGGACATGCATGCCATGGGAACCAGGTTGGATCCGAGAGAGGCTGCGAGCTGCTTGATGGTGTATGTAGTCTAACTCCTGTTCCTGTGGATGTCCGGAGTTGTGAAGATGAGAGTCTTTTTCTCTATCTCCGGGGGAAGGGGGGTTGTAAGCAGGGGTGGACTGACCGTTTGGGAACTCTGGCACTGCCTGAGTGCCCGGGGTCAGTAGGGGACCCCATGAGATGCCCCTGGTACCTTTCATGGGCTTTTTTTTGGGTGTGGTTTGAGGGAGGGTGAGGACACAGAGGCCCCATGAGTTGTCAGTCCGCCCCTGGTTGAAAGGCTCTTCCAGGTGGGAGGCAGGGGTGTTGTTGGTCAATGTCAGGCTCTCTCGGCTGGAGGGGTAAGGAGGAAGGGGTGTTGGTTGGTGTTTGTGGGGGCAGACGATTTTTGTGTTGCCTAGGGCAGCACAAAACCTAAATACACCAGTGAATAAGAAGTGGAGGTCTTCTGAGATCCTGCTGCTGTATTTTTTCACCTGTCAGGAATATGTTGGTGGAGACCTGGAATGTTCCTGAAAGGTCCACTTTAAATATTTTAATATTTATTGTAAACGTTTGGAAGTGATAATTAACAATAAAACCGATTGCCTTTTTACAATATTTTTACAATTTTGTTTTTTAGGTGGACCAGTTAGTAAATCTTGGGTTGTATCACTAGACGTATTAGGACCCTAGGGCTTGGAGGAAGGCCAAGATCTCCTTTCACGGCTCGCCAGCTTTCTTTATCTGCTGTCCCTCAACGCTCATCCTTTTCCCGTGTGTCCACCTTCGGATATCCGTGGAAGATGACCCATCTCTTCTCCTGAAATCCCAATGATGTTATGAAATGAGTGCTCTGAACTTTGAAACGTGCAATCCCCAACCATGCAAGAGACCAGCCGCGCTCTCTCTCTCCTTGTATAGGATGAACTCGGGGTGGAAGGCCGAAATGAATGAACTTCTGTGATAATCAGAGGAGACAGCTAAAGATGACTGAGGGACATGCAGAATATCGAGGCTAGTACTTACCACCTAAACCATAAAACAACCACCCCCCTTCAACCTCCCCCACCTAAATAACCACGCGACTCTCCTTTTTGGTGTAAAGCCGGCCATAGCAGCCCATTTTTTTTAACATAACTCTTACGTAACACTTCTTCTGGTACAATCAAATAATAACTGACAGTAATGATCCCAACCGGGTCCAAGGTCTTCGAAGGCACTGTTACTCCCATCAACAACTCGGCTCTATCTGACGCCCAACGAAAAGGCCCCCAGCCGCTACAACACCGCCTCGGGGACAATACTACAGTTACGTAGTCCCAGATACAGTCAATGACCTCCCACCTTACCAACATGACCTTAGAATTGGGAAGGAACACCCATTCCTACGATGGGCCCAATCCATAATCCACCAACTTGTCACTCCAGCATCAAATAATAACTGCCAGTAATGATTCCAACCGGGTCCAAGGTCTTCGAAGGCTTTGTTACTCCCATCAATAACTCGGCTCTATCTGACGCCCAACAAAAAGGCCCCCAGCCGCTACTACACCGCCTCGGGGACAATACTACAGTTACGTAGTCCCAGATACAGCCAATGATCTTCCATTTTACCAACATGACCTTAGAATTGGGAAGGAACACCCATACCTACGATGGGCCCAATCCATAATCCACCAACTTGTCACTCCAGCATCAAATAATAACTGCCAGTAATGATTCCAACCGTGTCCAAGGTCTTCAAAGGCTTTGTTACTCCCATCAATAACTCGGCTCTATCTGATGCCCAACAAAAAGGCCCCCAGCTGCTACTACACCGCCTCGGGGACAATACTACAGTTACGTAGTCCCAGATACAGCCAATGATCTTCCATTTTACCAACATGACCTTAGAATTGGGAAGGAACACCCATACCTACGATGGGCCCAACCCATAATCCACCAACTTGTCACTCCAGCACCGCCTTCAAAGACCCAGCGACCCCTGCCAGCTGCCATGACAAAACAGAAAACCAGACAACACCACAGGACATCAAATCAGGAAAAGAAGCGAAGCAAGGAACCCACACAAAACAAACAACAAAAAGGACAAAACCAATAAACAAAACAAACAACTAAACAGCTTCAGGGAGGGAGGGCTGGAGAAACCACACCCATGTTGGCACCAGCTCCAACTGACCTCGGACAAGTCCCAACCCCTCTCCTCATCCTAGCAAGACCAACCTCAAGCCTGATTACTCCAATCAGGTGAGTAACCACCCCCATCTGCCTATACTCCCACCCAAATCCAGTCTCCGCCTCGTCTGCAAGCTCCAGTCATGCTGGCCCTCCCTTTTAGCTTCGCTCAGTCCAGGCCCTGACTTGAAAAACACAACGTAGAATTCAAATGAAGACGTCCTACAACGGGGTTTCTCAACCAGGGTTCCTCCAGAGGCTGATAGAGGTTCCTTGAAAACGGGCAATTTCTGCCTCTCAGATAAGTTCCCACTGACACCATTGATCTTTTTTAGTTAGCTGTAAGGGGTAAATTCGTCCCAACGGCCATTTCACTAAGGTATCAGGACTTGTAGAAATAGTCATTTTCAACGAGGATTCCCTGAAAGTGTTTTCAAGAGTTCCTCTGCGTTGAAAAGGTTGAGAAAGGCCGTCCTATAATGAAGCCGAGACAAACCACCACCTCTACTAAAATATGGTCCTGTACGAGGGGCCTTCAAGTCAAACCAGGACTTCTGAATTTGTATAATGAAAAAACAAATTTTAAGGAGTGGAAGCTGCATTTATCTTTCCACATACTCCCCTGCTACATTTATGAACTTATCTCAGCGTTTAGCTAATGCCTGGAAAGCTTTGGCGTAGAAAGATTTGTCAGGACACTTGAACCATCCTAGGACAGCCGGCTTCATTTACTCACCATTGTGGTCCTGTACGAGGGGCCTTCAGGTCAAACCAGGACTTTTGAATTTATATAATGAAAGAACAAATTTTAAGGAGTGGAAACTGCATTTATCTTTCTACATACTCCCCTGCTACATTTATGCCCTTGTCCCAGCGTTTAGCTAATGCCTGGAAAGCTTTGGTGTAGAAAGATTTATCAGGACGCCTGAACCATCCTAGGACAGCCGGCTTCACTTGCTCACCATTGTGGTCCTGTACGAGGGGCCTTCAAGTCAAACCAGGACTGTGATTCAGGTGTTTCAATCCCCTCCATATTATGTGATTCAGGTGTTCCAATCCCCTCAATATTATGTGATTCAGGTGTTCCAGTCCCCTCCATATCATGTGATTCAGGTGTTCCAATCCCCTCCATATCATGTGATTCAGATGTTCCAATCCCCTCCAATCATGTGATTTGGGTGTTCCAATCCCTTCCATATCACGTGATTCAGGTGTTCCAGTCCCCTCCATATCATGTGATTCAGGTGCTCCATTCCCCTCCATATCATGTGATTCAGGTGTTCCAATCCCCTCCAAATCATGTGATTCAGGTGTTCCAATCCCCTCCAAATCATGTGATTCAGGTGTTCCAATCCCTTCCATATCATGTGATTCAGGTGTTCCAATCTCCTCCCAATCAAGTGATTCTGGTGTTCCAATCCCCTCCCAATCATGTGATTCAGGTGTTCCAATCCCCTCCCAATCATGTGATTCAGATGTTCCAATCCCCTCCAATCATGTGATTTGGGTGTTCCAATCCCTTCCATATCACGTGATTCAGGTGTTCCAGTCCCCTCCATATCATGTGATTCAGGTGCTCCATTCCCCTCCATATCATGTGATTCAGGTGTTCCAATCCCCTCCAAATCATGTGATTCAGGTGTTCCAATCCCCTCCAAATCATGTGATTCGGGTGTTCCAATCCCCTCCATATCATGTGATTTAGGTGTTCCAATCCCCTCCATATCATGTGATTCAGGTGTTCCAATCCCCTCCAAATCATGTGATTCGGGTGTTCCAATCCCCTCCATATCATGTGATTCAGGTGTTCCAATCCCCTCCCAGTCATGTGATTCAGGTGTTCCAATCCCCTCCATGGACACAGGTGTATACAATCAAGCCCCTAGGCATGCAGACGGCTTCTACAAACATTGGTGAAAGAATGGGTCGCTCTCAGGAGCTCAGTGACTCCAAGCGTGGTCCCGTGATAGGTGGTCACCTGGGCAATAAGTCCATCCGTGACATTTCCTGGCTACTAAATATTCCACGCTCAACTGTTAGTGGGATTATAACAAAGTGGAAGCAACTGGGAACAACAGCCACTCAGCCACCAAGTGGTAGGCCACGTCACATGACAGGGCGGGGTCAGCGCATGCTGAAGCGCACAGTGCGCAGAAGTCGCCAACTGTCTGCAGAGTCAATAGCTAAAGACCTCCAAACTTGGTGTGGCCTTCAGATGAGCCCAACAACAGTGCGTAGAGAGCTTCATGGAATGGGTTTCCATGGCCGAGCAGCTGCATCCAAGCCTTCCATCACCAAGTGCAATGCAAAGCGTCGGATGCCGTGGTGTGTAAAGCACGCCACCACTGGACTCTAGAGCAGAGGAGACGTGTTCTCTGGAGTGACCAATCACGCTTCTCTGTCTGGAAATCCAATGGACGTGTCTGGGTTTGGCGGTTTCCAGCAGAATGGTACTTGTCTGACTGCATTGTGCCAAGTGTAAAGTTTGGTGGAGGGGGGATTATGGTGTGGGGTTGTTTTTCAGGGGTGGGCTTGGCCCCCTAGTTCCAGTGAAGGGAACTCTTAAGGCAACATTTTGGACAATTTCATGCTCAACTTTGTGGGAGGAGTTTGGAGATGGCCCCTTCCTGTTCCAACATGACTGCCCACCAGTGCACAAAGCAAGGTCCATAAAGACATGGAGGAGCCAGTTTGGGGTGGAGGAACTTGACTGTCCTGCACAGAGTCCTGACCTCAACCCCATAGAACACCTTTGGGATGAATTAGAGCGGAGACTGTGAGCCAGGCCTCCTCCCCCGACATCAGTGCCTGACCTGACAAATGTGCTTCTGGAAGAATGGTCCAACCTTCCCATAGACACCCTCCTAAACCTTGTGGACGGCCTTCCCAGAAGAGTTGAAGCTGTTATAGCTGCAGAGGGCGGGGCCAACTCAATATTGAACCCTACGGACTAAGACTGGGGGGCCATTAAAGGTCATGTGTGTGGAAAGGCCGGCGGCCCAATACTTTTGGCAATTTAGTGTGAATAAAGTCTTGAACTTTCATGTTCAGATTGGTCTATCTATTTTTTTTTTTTGTATACCTATAAGGAGGGAAGCCTTCTGCAGGACAGATAACACTTGGCACACCTTCAGTACAGGACTATCGGGGATCTTCATCCTCAAAACATCGTCCTAGTACCTCTGGTCAGAAGGGGGAAGCTCAGGCCCCAAGACCACCCAGTGGCCTCTTAATAGTCCCACTGGAACTCCTCTTTCTGAACAGGGATCCAGGATCCCAACTCACCTGGAGCCATTATAATGGCCATGGGGGTCTTGTCCAATTCCCTTGCCCCTTGGGAGCATAGAAAAACTCTAGCATGTAGAAGGCAGGCACCTCACACACCTGTACTCTACAGTTCAGGACCATCAGGCCTCCTAATTATTCCCGCTTGAACTCCTCTCCCAGGAATGTGGAGTACCATGAGGGTAGCCTTCTGCAAAAGAGTTGACATTTGGCACCTCACACACCTGTACTCTTCAGTTCAGGACCCTTCGAGATCTTCACCCTCAACACAAGGTTCTCCTCCTACCTCTGGTCACAGGGGGGAAGCTCAAGCACCAAGACCACCTTGTGGCCTCCTAATTAGTCCCACTGGAACTCCCCTCCCAGGAATCCAGAATCTAAACTCATCTGGAGACATTATAATGGCCATGGAGATCTTGTCCAATTCCCTCACCCCTCAGGAACATAGAAAACCTCCAGCATGGAGAAGCCAGGCTAATCTACACCACTACCAAGAATCCACATCAACATTTATGTAATGTGGAGTACCATGAGGGTAGCACAAGGTTCTCCTCCTACCTCTGGTCACAGGGGGGAAGCTCAAGAGCCAAGACCATCCAGTGGCCTCCTAATTAGTCTCACTGGAACTCCTCCTCCTGAACAGGAATCCAGAATCTCAACTCATCTGGAGACAATATAATGGCCATGGGGATCTTGTCCAAGTCCCTCACCCCTTCGGGAACATAGGAAACCTCCAGCATGGAGAAGCCAGGATCCTCTACACCACTACCAAGAATCCACATCAACATTTATGTAATGTGGAGTACCATGAAGGAATACCATCGATGTATAAATCTTTGAAGAAGTTCCCAATGACGGGAACAATGAGAAGTTCGATATGTGCTGTCCAAAGCTTTGGACCAACGGAGGTCAGAAAACTCCTCCCCTATTCCTCCCTCCCGTCCCTTCATCGTAGGAGTCTTGGAGGACTCCGATGGTTGTGAAGTGAGATAGAACCTTCGTGAAGATGCTTCGGGTTGTGTCGATGTTCATAGATACAGAAAATTGGGATCGATCCTATTGGTAAGAAAAAAAAAAGATGGCGGGTTTGAGAGCACCTAAAGGATCCTGCAGAGCGTCGTTCCCGAGATCTGGTATAGATCGGTGGAATTGCCACTTCCCATTCTATTCCCGGATTGGAGATCGATGTCTGGGACAGAGGCGGGCACGGAGGAAAAATGTCTTCGTTCGTTGGGTTAACAATTTTGTTTCGTCATATTCGTTAGAATGGTTTGTTTCCGGAATGTGCTTTGTATATTCGGATTCGTTTTGTATGTTCACTATTTTCAAATCGAGTTAAAATTCGAAGCTGTATTTCATTCTATTGTATGCTATTCTTTTCTATTCTATTCTATTCTATTCTTTTATATTATAATCAATTATTTTATTTTCTATTCTATTCTGTTTTAATATTTTCTGTTCCTTTTTTTCTATTCTATTCTATTTTTTTCTGTTGTTAGATTCTACTCATCTCTACTTCTATTCTATTAATTTCTATTCTGCTCTTATTTTCTATTCCATTTTATTTTATTCTATTATTTTCTATTATAATCAATTATTTTATTTTCTATTCTATTCTGTTTTAATATTTTTTTCTGTTCCTTTTTTTCCTGTTCTGTTCTATTATTTTCTATTCTATTCTATTTTATTCTATTGTTAGATTCTACTCATCACTACTCCTATTCTATTCTATTAATTTCTATTCTGCTCTTATTTTCTATTCTATTCTGTTTTATTCTATTCCTTTATTTTCTATTCCATTCCATTTTATTCAATTCTTTTCTATTATAATCAATTATTTTATTTTCTATTCTATTCTGTTTTAATATATTCTGTTCCTTTTTTTTTTGTTATTCTGTTCTGTTCTATTATTTTCTATTCTATTGTATTTTATTTTATTCTATTGTTAGATTCTACTAATCTCTACTCCTATTCTATTCTATTAATTTCTATTCTGCTCTTATTTTCTATTCTGTCCTGTTTTATTCTATTCTTTTATTTTTCAATTATATTATCCATTTTATTATATTCTATTATTTTTTTCTATTATAATCAATTGTTTTATTTTTTTTTCCATTCCATTCTGTTCTGTTCTATTCTATTATTTTTTTTTTTCTATACTATACATTTTTTTTTCTATTCTATTCTATTGTTCGATTCTATTCTTATCTATTCTATTCTATTAATTTCTATCCTATTCTGTTTTATTTTTTCTTTTATTTTCAAGTCTATTCCATTTTATTCTATTCTATTATTTTTTATTATTATAATCAATTATTTTATTTTTTTATTCTGTTTTATTACATCCTATTATATTCTATTCCTTTGTTTCTATACTGTTCTATTCTATTTCATTCTTTTATTTTCTATTCTATTATATTCAGTTTTTTTTCTATTGTATTCTATTGTTCAATCTTCTTCTTCTCTACTCTGTTTTGTTAAATTCTATTCTTCTTTTTTTTTTTCTATTTTATTTGTTTTATTCTGTTCTTTTATTTGCAATTCTATTTTGTTTTGTTTCTATTCTATTCTTTTCTGTTTTCTATTATAATCAATTTCTGTTTTCTATTCTGTTCAGTTTTATTACATCCTATTATATTCTATTCCTTTATTTTCTATTCTGTTTGGTTCTATTCTATTCCATTCCTTTTTCTCGTCTATTCTGTTCTATAAAATTTTTTCTATTCTATTATATTCCTTTATTTTCTATTCTATTCTGTTCCTTTATTTTATATTCTATTCTGTTTCATTCTATTATATTCTTTTATATAATCATCTATTCCTTTATTTTCTAATCTATTCTGTTTTATTCTATTCTATCCCTTGATTTCCTGCTCGGTTCTATTTGATTTATTCTATTCTATTATTTTATTCTATTCTGTTCTATTCTATGTTTTCTATTCTATTACAGTTGTGTCCAAAATTATTCAACCCCCAATGCTGTAAAGGGGTTTAGGGACTATAGTGTACATTTGGAATTGTATTCAGAATCAAATCCTACAAGGACGTTGTAACTACCCAAATGCAACTAAAATGACATCAATTGTTTATGTAATACAGTAGTAAATGGTTCTTATGTGGTTTCTTCATTGCCACAATTATTCAACCCCTTAAAGACTACCACTCTGAAGAACAGAGGTTCATACAGGTGCTTTCCATCAGGTATTGAAAACACCTGTGGATGTCACCGAGCAGCAATCAAGCATAATAAGCACCAATTAGGCAGCTTTAAAATGACTGTGATACTCAGCTCCTTCTAGACATTTACTGGTGTGGTTACAAACATGGTGAAGGCAAGAGAATGGTCCAGGAAGACAAGAGAAGAGGTGATTTCTCTTCACAGGAAGGGCAATGGCTATAAGAAGATTGCAAAGATGTTAAACATACCAAGAGACACCTTAGGAAGCATCATTCGCAAATTCAAGGCAAAGGGCACTGTTGAAACGCTACCTGGTCGTGGCAGAAAGAAGATGCTGACTTCGACTGCTGTGCGCTACCTGAAGCGTAGAGTGGAGAGAAGTCCCCGTGTGACTGCTGAGGAACTGAGAAAAGATTTGTCAGATGTGGGGGTACAGAAGTTTCAGCCCAGACAATAAGACGCACACTGCGTAATGAAGGCCTCCGTGCCAGAACTCCCAGCGTACCCCCTTGCTGTCTCCAAAGAATAAGAAGAGTCGACTGCAGTATGCCAAAAGCCATGTGGACAAACCACAAAAGTTGTGG